ATAAAGGAATATATACCTTAAATCATATTGTGAGGCCCCGTACAAGTTACGGAAACCCTAAACCCTGATACCTGAAACCCCAAAACCTAAACCCCAGAAAATGCAGAATGAAGGGGTGTCCGGTTGGTGATGTCTTTCTTGGCCTTACAGCTTGGAGATCGTAGGGCTTCAGGGTTCAGGGTTTAGGGTTTAGGGGTTTAGGGTTTAGGGATTCAGGGTTCGGGGTTTAAGGTTTAGGGTTCAGGGTTTAGGGTTTAGGGGTTTAGGGAACTGGAGGTTCTAGATGTAGTTTTTCCGTGCTCAGGGCTCAGAATGTAGGGATTAGGGTTTGGGGTTTGTGTCCGCGGATGGTAAGTTTAGGGTCCAGAGTCTTCAGGGTTTAGGGTTTAGGGTTTAGGGTCTTCAGGGTTGTAGGAGAATGGTGCAGTTTCAGAGGCTTAGCCGCAGGAACATCCATCACCCAGGGCTCTTTAGGCTAGAGCTCCACAGGTTCAGGGGCTTCAAGAGCTCCTCAGGAAATATTTCGCAAACTACTGTATATCCTTTACTTAATCTCCAAAATCCTGTTGTAGTGATTAAATCCTTATGAAGCCTTGGTAGATCATGATAAGGCCCGATAAGTACATGAGAGCGTTGGAAGGATTTGTGGAGTAGAAGCTACAGCTGCCTTCCTGTACCACCTGCGATTATTGTCACGGCTGCTATCATTAGCCATATTAGGGTCATGATTGTTACGTTATCTATGTGATTCTGATGATTATTTGTGTGATCGTGCTGGATGCAACATCCACGGACGGTTCGAGCGATGAGCATGTCAATGTTCGGTCTAGCAGGCGAACTGTGGTGAGTGGAGGACAGATGAGTGGCTAGGTGCATGGAGCAGAGGCTACGGAAGTGCAAGTCAGCAATCTGCAGATTCAGATGTAATAGTTGCTTCTGCATCAAGCGCTTGATGAAGAAGCTAGGCCAAAGCCCGTTAAACTGTGGTATTGCGGCTGCAGGTCTCTCTAGCTTCCGCTCGGTCCGGCTGCAGGGTGTGGAGGTTTCTTAACGTTGGAATGGGCTCTAAGAAGACAGGTTGGGGCATGTTGCATCGAAAAAGCTTTGAAAACAAGCCGAATCAAACTAAGTCGAAATGCGATCTGGAGCTGTCGTGGATTCTGCTGAAGAATCTAAGCAGATACATCCCGGCCGCCATGGTCCAGGCCAAATGCGGCTGTTCCACAGAGAAAAAGCAAACAAGCAAACACAAAGCAACAACAAAGGCCAAGACTATGTATTCCTTTTGGCACTAATGTTATCAGTATTCATATGCATATAATGTGTTTTGGGGGTACTCAAAATAGTGTTGTTCAGCTTTCTGTTAGGCGTTTTTAGGTTTATTTGCATTTGCAGCACGTAGAATATGGAACCGGGTCAGGATTATTTCAGATACTTTCAAGAATTATTTTGTAAGTGTTCAAACCAAGGTTTTTTGGGCTGTCTTCGGATAGCCATTCTCATCTTAGTGTTGGTGCCTAACCGAGATGCATGAGTTCTCAAGCTCTTCCTGCTACTTCAGCCCAAACCATGAAGCGGTTTAGGGTTTAGGGTTCTGAAATCCCTGAGACCCAAGCTCCCCGATCCCTGAAGCGATAAGAATCCTGGACCAGTAAGGCTCCAGAAAAGTCTGGCCTTCAGAAGCCTTCTGCACTGCTGAAATAAACTGAGGGTGTATCAACATCCTCAGTATCAACTTGAGGCCATGGCGTCAGCAACTCTGTGAGGGCCGCCGACTCCACATCTGGAGTGCCAGCGCAGGATGGTCACCGGGCAATGTCTGCAGAGATGTCGGATTTCGGGTTTTGTTTGCGAGGTCTAGGGGTGCCGGCCGCATGTTGCGTAGACGTAACGTTCACCGAGCTTTTAAGTTGAATCCTCAAAATTTGGGTATCCAGGGTTGGGGGGTTGTGACGGGTTGTGTGCCTCTGTATTGGGCTTTAATAACTGTGTCTAGATCCCACCCTCTCCCCAAAAGCTGATTACGTGCTGCGTGCTTAGGCCTGCGCTCACAACCCTCCGACCAGCCTTCAGCGTGTAGCTTCTCTGATTTCAGCAGGCTGCTGGACTGTGGGACATGTCATCGATGCCACCGACTCGCGTGTGAAGGCTCTTTTGGTGGGGGTAGGGGGGGGTGCCGCAAGCTCGAGCTTTTGGGGTGCATATGGGCTTACTGGATGAGGATGTTGATGTTGCCTGCTGTTGTGTTGAGTATTTTTGGACGGGGGGCGGGGACTGGTGTGTGGACATAAGGCTCTGCGTTATGGGCATGCCATTTGTATAGTGTAGTTTCTATCCCAGAATCGTCTCTCAACTCTCTTATGACACGCCAGCGGAGGTCAAAGCAACAAACTCCAGCTTCGAAAATCTCTCTCAACATCCCTCCCGGCAAAGCCTCACACACGAGGCCACAACTGAGAAGTCGTGTTGTCCGCTGCTGCTGCTGCTGCTGCTGCTGCTGCTGCTGCCGCTGCTGTTTTGTCTGGTTTGCTTCTGTTGGTTACTCTCATTCTCTCTCGCTACCTCTTTCGATCTCACGCTCTCGTAGCTAGACAGCCCTCCAGGTCAAGTGTCTTCGTGCTTCATGTGCGGTAGGTATCTTAAGGTCCCACGTCATTACATATGTTCATTGATGCCCTGACGAAGGTGGAATACACCTGCAATGGTGAGCGCGTGGAGCTTAAAGCACGCTCATATGCGGGGTTCTCGGGGCTGCCCATTGAACAGCCGAATTTCGAGACGAGCCCAACAATTTCAGGTTGAGCGAATTAAGTCAAAATGAAGGTGGGCATGGGACTATGTGGCAGGAGCCCAAGTTTAGCACATGTGACACCCAATATATGTGCTGCACCGTGGCAAGATTGCGATCAAATAAGGAGGAGACGGCGACGGCGTTGGATTTTGCATTCAATCCAGTCTTTTCGGCTTGTGGGCAGGATGCGACTGTAGGAAAATCGCGTGTCTCGTGCCACAGCGGGAGGCGCGAAACCTCCGTGTGAGCCCTACCCGAGCGCATCTAAGCATTAACCCTCTGCTCCGTTTACTTCCAATGTAATAACCCCATGTAGTGTTGGCACATGTTGGCACAATGTTAACCAAGCAGCATGCCAAATCCTAGACAAGACACCGTTTTTGTTGAATCACAACCCCAAGTAAGCATGTCTGTTTCAACCACGAATCCTAAACATCAAATCCCGATTGCTTGAGCCTGTTTGTTTTGAGCTCCTTTCCTGGCACGGAACGTTAAGATGCCCAGGAGGAAGTTAAGGTAGATTAGAAAAGACCTAGCGAATACAAAATCCATCAAAGCCGAAATCACCACAGCCCTAAACCCTGAACCCTAAACGGCTCTCAATCCGGAATTTGTTGGTAGCCAAAACCGTTTTAGACCCTTCAGGCTTTGACAAGACTCTGCTTCGAACTTCTGCTAATCTGCGCCAGGAGGGGTTTGAGGGTTTGCAGATTGGCTTTAAGTTAAGGGTTGAGGGCTTGTAGGGTTTATGTTAGGAGTTTTAGCTGCCAAGATTTTCAGGGCTTGGCGTCTAGGAATTTTGCAGTTTGTTGTAGTGTTGTTCCGGCTCTAGTCAATGGGGGCTTGCGCCTTGTTTGTGCGTACTGAGTTTTCCTATTTAGGCATCCGTTTTTGATTTCGATGTTTCGGACACCACGGCAGTACATCAAATGCGGGAGTGCAGGAA